AGAGCCGCACCGTCCATCTTCGCCATATAAACAATATCTCAAAATCTAGATTCAAAAAAAAATTCAAAAAAATATGATACACAGAGGGAGCACTGGGTAATACGCTATATAAATTTCAAGTACATCTGTTCATTTGAGTAAACCCGATATACATCCTTAAAGTAGCTTGACATGTCATTTTTATTACCATATTTAATTACATATCTTCTGTTTCGCAGGTGCTGTAGTAAAATGATTGTTTTTATTTAATCTTACTCATATTTGCATTTATTAGCAACCGATAAATCATTAAACGAATTAAATATCGCATAAATATTATACAAGTTGGTTGTAAATTTCACAACAATTTGGAATACAAGAAATTATAAACATAACGTTTCGAGAAAGATACTGTGAAGCTGAAGATTAAGCCAACGGGTCGGTATTTGCATGCGCACTGGTCCATAGCGTTTCAATGTATGATTTAGCGTACATCCATCTAGAAAGATTTTGTTTTAACCCGCAGAAAAAATAAATCTAGATACCAGAAACAACAAATAAAAATACCGGCCAGAGGAGTTAATTTCCATCCTCAGAGTTCCTTCAGAAAACAATAGCGTTAAGATGTCTTAGCCGAAGATGTAATAATCATTGACAATTGCCACGAAAATCTTCAAATAAAACCAATACATAAAAATGAAAAAAAAGTATATGGCACAAATTTCAGCAAAGCAATTCATTAAATGTGTTCTATATACTCTTCATATTGTTTTAATTACAGATTCGTAGTTTGCAAGCCGAGGAAGAAACCAGGAAGCTTTCGCTCGAATCCAGAAACAAGGCTGATGATTTGCTTAAAAAACTGAAAGAGGAAGTCGACAGAGCCATGGCAAAGGCCCACAAGGCCCTTGACGACGCAAAGAAGAAGGTCAACGAAGCTGCAGACAAAGTCCAAGCCGAAGCCAAAAGACAAATGCAGAGCACGTTGGATAAACTTAAGGAAGAATTGGAAACACTGAAGGAAAAAGCCAAAAAGGCAGGTGTAAATATCGACGATTGTCTTAAAGGCAATGAAGATCGTCTGGTGAATTTGCCAAACCAGCTGTCAAACGATATGGTACATTGCGTTTCGGATCAAATAAATAAGGCAATATCCTTCGCTCAAGACGCATTGGACCATGTAAGTTAAAAGTATATTTTAGCGTTATTTTTAATTTAATAATTTAATATTTTAATACGGTCTTTAATAATGATGATGATGTGATAATGATGTGTTTTCATATCAATAGAACAGTGACCAGAAAATGCAGAAAAAACTTCTAGATTGACATTAAAACATTACCCATTGGTTCTGCACTTCTGTACACATGTAAACAATAAACCACAGTAATAAGAGCACCATAAAAACCACAATAGTACTGAATAAACAGTCGTTTGTCTAATCAAATCGTTGATGCAACAAATGTCTCGATTTTCAGCTCCAGAAGATCGTCGACGAGGTGGAGAATATAAAACAAGAGATAAAGGACTGCGGTCACGGTTTCCACGCTGTGAAGTGCATAGCCAAACTGGCGGTCAGGATCGAAAAGGACATCACGACGCTACCGACCAGGATCGAAGCAGACGTGACGGCCACCGTGGCGTTGATCTCCAACCTGGACAAGGAGGTGAAGAAGTGTGCGTCGAATAAAGTCGATCAATGCGAAAACGACGGGAAGAAGATTTTGGAGGTCATAGCGGCTTGTGTGGCCAAGAAAATTATTACGCATTAATCTCAAGGCCGAATTGTTGTATGAAAATTGCCTGTGTCTTTAATTTTTAAAAGTATATAGGAATTATCGAAATAAAGAGTATCTGAAATATTATACAGAGATTGTTTCAGTCATAATGTCATCAACTTTAATCACTTCGTAATAGGGAACGCGCTACGCAGGACAGCGGAGTATACAGCGAACAGCGTTGGGGCGAAACAGCTGATTTCCTAGTCGTAGTCTCTTCCAGTTTTGCAATTGCTTTCAAAGTCAAAGTGCAACGGATTTCAACTTTAGGCACCATACAACTCTGAAAATGTACTACAAACTCAATAATTACATACTTGAACATTTATGTAATACTAAAAACCCGTATACAATCATAAAACAGTGAAAACTTTAAGAATTGGTACTAAAATTAGGTTAGTAACAAACAGTTTGTTTTTATCGTAAATAATTATAATTAGCGTAAATTTTAAAATCGCGTACACTTATTCTATTCATTTTTCCCTATCTTACCTTAAAATTAATGACGCTATGACTGAAACGCCCTGTATATAGGGTGTTTCTGCAATAAACATTTTCCATCAAAGGTGTAACAGAACAAATTGGTTCGCAGTTTGCCCTGTTTTAGAGTAGAGTGTTTCGGGTGTTGGCACTAGAAAAAAAATCACATTTTCTGAAATATCTCTAAGGATATAGTAAAAATGATCTTTTCTTATCGTTTCTAATATCATTTTGAACCAGATCAGCGCACAATTCATCTACGAAAGCTGATATACTTTTAAAAATATAGAACATTAATAAAATTAAATATACAGGGTGATCCATTAACGGTACGGAGCGGATGTATATAGGAAACTAGACTACGATTATGGGGGTAAAAAATCTATTAACAAATACGGCTAAAAGGAACTAATTTGAAATATTTTCAAGTTTGTAACTTCACCAGCTATAGTGTTACAGAAAATTGTCGTTTTTTCGAAATTTCGCTTATATAACGTAAGTTGAAAATACACGTTTTAGATACACTGTTAAAACCTTCACAAGATTTGTTTGAACTTTTTTTTGTTATTACCATAGCAACGCCAGTATGAAGGACGCCATCTTGAAATTTTTCCTCCAATCCTCCGTACAAGCATAGCTAATCTACGGTCTACTGGCCGCTGGATTCGAAACCCGGGCAGATATGGGAATAAAAATATTATTTTCCTGCGCAACGGTAGACGACGCTCAGAAAAGTTTTGTAATTGTTTCCGTTTACTAAAAAAATTAAATGCAACTATATAGATTTTTTTGGCTTTATTAGACCATTTATTAAAGTAAACAAATATAACAAACAAACCGGAGCTGGATGTCTTTTTCGTTTTCAAGTTATTGGTAAAATAGTGAGCTTGTGCTAGAACATCCTTCTTTATTTAGTTCTCTAAACAACAATGACGTAGTGCAAGCCAAAATTAAATTGTAAAACTATACCAAGCTTGTCTTTAAAAAAGTACTTGCTGTATTTTAAAAATTTTTTAATAACTGCAATGTTTAATTTTTTTATTAATTCCAAATATTTGAGTATTTATAAAGATTATTATTATTTTTATAACGCGGCAGGCTATGCTCTATGAAAATACACAACTGAAAATCAAATAAAATGTGATAGCTCTTGCTACGTGCAAAATTAGTGTTATTTGTGTTGGAAAAGTGAAATTTTTTATTTCATCGAATATAATAATATATCATTTGTCATTAGTTTTAAGCAAAACGGAGCAGCAATTTCAAATTTTTCATAAACTGAAACAATTATTCCACATAATGTGGTTCATACTTTACTGGTGACACTGTATAATTTAATTGTTCTACTTTTAGTCTTTGTAGCTAACAAGTCACCGAATAATTGGAAACACATTTTTCACAGTGCAACAAAATAATCGCAATCTGTTTTAATTTTTTTTTAGCAATGTTATTTTCCCAAACCAAATTTTGCCCGATCGCCATTCAGAGAATATATTATCGTTGTCCCAAGCGTGATCACAAGTTCTTTATTTCTCGAATTGACATTTTTTTAATGTAATTTTTGTGCTCGTCTATTCCAATTTGGTGTCCAAGTTGAGATGTGTCTCCAATATATGTTAATGTCATTGCTTTCAGGATATGTTACACCTTTTCAGATATTCTACATATAAATGCAATTTTTTGAATCATTATTAAATTTGTACCTATTCTCTTTAATTTTTTCGATAACACAGGAGTATAATGGAATGGTATTTTTATTGCGAAAGTAATTTAATTCTGTTTGACAGAATTTCTTTCACTTTCAACTGTTTCAATAATATTCTCAAGGTAACTGATTGTTTATAGTCTTTCCGATCTCAATTGAAGAACCAAGAGGTTGGCAGTATGTACCAGGTTCGGTCGCTGACGCAGGCATTGAAATATTTGAAAAACTCGTTCCCATATTTATTTAGCTATACCCATACACGGGCCTGGTCGCCCAATTGAAGAATTAGCGCGCGGGTAAACGCGGCACAAACACAGCCGCACTGGGCGATCTGGCCATACATTCAGTTGTCCTTGGCTAGCAGTGCAGTGCAGCAATGCGGAATTTGGTATGATTCCGGTAATTTTAATTTGTTATAGGCACCTTCTATTAATCATTCATATTACAATTGCGAAAGGGAGAAACAAGAGGGACATTTTGTTTACTAATATTATTACAACATGGGATTTTGGAAACTTCAATATAATAAAATTGTTTGAGGACATAAATAATTAAAATATGTTGTTGGTCAAATGAACATATAATATAAATTTTCTACACATTATATACAAATTATTATAATTTTTTTACCATTAACAGATAACTTTTAGGGACGCCTATGAAACTCATTATATTTTATTGGTAAGCGTTTTTCGACTGACTTGAGAAGGATTATACTAGCACAATTTTTACGAATTTTAATTCATAATATCACATCATCATATATATCTGCTTATCTCTAACTATACAGAAACAGGTAAAAACAGACAAATTTAAAATGTCGAAAATAATAATTAACAACGAAAAGACTGTTTTTCGGTGTGAGATTTTTGGTTAGAGAAAACTATTTTCCTCTTAGCTGATCCATTAGATTATATTTGAATTTTTTTACAGGTGGAAAAATATCCAGTAAATAAGGAAAACTATTTTTAGATATTTCTCTAATTGTAAGCGCTTATAACGAGCGTTCAAATAAAAACGTGGTCAAGTTGGTTCTGAAAATTTGGACGTAGGGCGTAGCGTATAGCAAATGAACTTAAACGTCATCTGTCAAAGCGCTATATCGCCGCTATCAATTTGAATATTTTCGTTTTAAAAAGCGTTGAAAGTGGTGTTTTCTCAAGAACAAAAAGTGTTTATCATAGAGTCCTACTTTAGAAATGGACGCAAGATTGATGGAATATGGAAGTATTCTATTGAGGAATGTTTCATAGAATTTCAAAATCAATTTCCCGGCGTTGTTGAGTACAAAATTTTTCAAAGTGCAGTTCAGCGTTGTGTTAATGTTTTTCGTGAAACGGGCAGTGTAACAAGAAAAGAAGGAAGCGGCCGACCTAAAAAGCGGACTGAAGAATTAAAAGAAAATGTCCAACAAATAATGGAAAATGCGCCAAGAACTTCTGTACGTGTTTTATCACAAATGGTGGGAGTATCAGTCGGTACCTGCCACACAGTGTTAAAAAAAGATTTGCGTTTGTTCTCCTATCGTTTAACTTGTCAGCAAGAACTTCATGAAGTTGATTTTCCGCGACGGGCTGTATTTTGTGAATGGTTTTTAAACAACTACGGTGAACTTCATAATATCACCTTTTTTTCTGATGAAGCCTGGTTTCATTTAAGTGGTTACGTAAACTCACAGAATATGAGAATGTGGTCTTCTGAAAAACCAGATAACTTTTTTGTCGAGGGCCCTCTACACGCTCAAAAAATTGGAGTTTGGTGTGCTCTCAATCGAAGGAGGATTTATGGACCTATTTTTTTTAATGGTACTCTTACTGCGCAAAGGTATAGAGAAGAAATTATCGCTCCTTTTGTTAACCAGCTGGAAGAAAACGAAATTACAAACTTTTACTTTCAACAAGATGGCGCAAGGGCACATACGGCAGGCGAGACGATGAATATGTTGAGGGAAGTTTTCCAAAATCGACTAATAAGTCTCAATGCTGAACATGAATTTCCACCGAGGTCATGTGATATTACGCCGTGTGATTTCTTTTTGTGGCCTTACCTTAAAAACACTATTTTTGAACTGCCTATTCCTGATTTAAACCATCTGCAGGCTCGACTTATAGACAAGATTCGTGAAATTAACAATACCCCGAGCATCTTAGAAAATGTCTTTAATTCTTTGAGGAACAGGTGTGAAAAGTGCTTGGAACAAGGAGGGGGACACTTTCAGCAGCTGCTTTAATTTATTGTTATAACAAGGAGGGGGACACTTTCCGCAGCTCCTTTAATTGTTTGTTATTGTTATCACGATTATTCTTTAAAATAAAGTTATATAGTCATTAACGTTATTGAAACTGACAGCTGCTATACAGCTCGTTGAGAAATGAGGTTAAGTTGGTCGCTATAAGCTACTCCCTACGTCCAATGTGTCAGAGCCAACTTCGACCACGTTTTTATTTGAACGCTCGTTATTTATTTACGTATTTATATAGAGAAATATTTGCTTAAAATAAAGATAAATAATTTATTAGACAAAAAATCCATCGACTATCCATTAAACTAAAGTTATAAGACATACCTGTACCAATCGCAATCATTGGCGTGCCAGTGCAAGTCGTGAAAAACTAATTAACAGGGAGCACAGGCGAGAACACTGAAAAAGCGTCGCATTTTTCACGTTGCCCGTTGTCTTTGCTATGAAGTCGATCAAGTACCCGTGACGCTAATTAAAAACTGCTAGCGGAATACGCTCACACTCATATTCCCTCTGAAAGCATGAAAACTTGTTTGACTGCCGGCATATTGCGAGGCGAAATTTCAATTTTATTGTGCTGGGTGACGAATTCCAGGGAAAACTGCCGTACGCTAAAAGTATCCGGCATCGAAAAACC